CCGCAGCGGATGAGTAAACCCTACCTCAACACCACATAACCTTCTTCCTAGGGCTCCTCCTGATGATCGCCTAAGATAGGTCCTTAAAGAGGGAGGGGTCGTTTTCCAGTCCAGGTAGGAGGATTAGGGATCTTCAGGATTTTGTACGGCTTAAGGATTGAGGCTGCGGGATCCCTAAACCAGGGCCCCTGAACCCTAAACCCTGGCTTCTGTCTTGAAGGTTTAGGGTTTAGGGTTTAGGGGCTTCCACCATTTTGCAGTCGTTTTATACGGCTTTAGTTTAGGGTGTTAGGGGGGGGTTGGTCGTGGGGGGCTGGGGGGCTGAGGGTTTACGGGTTTTTAATTAAGGCTTCGCAAACGTCTCTATCATCAAAGGATCCTAGGCTCCTATGTGGGGACTTACACACAGCATAACTCGGAGGGTGCAAAGATGTGCAAAGTAGCTTGATCCCTATAGGGTAAAGTTATAATTAGCTGGATAGCCCTACTTAGCGCACGTACAACCCGAAGGAGATCCCTCTTACTCAGTCCAATGAGCCTTCAAGAGACGTAGACCCTAAACCTGGAAGCCAAAGCCCCCACAGACCTCTTGAAGGAACCTTTTCAGTTCCTCAGTCCCACGAGCCTTTAAGTAGGGTCCGCATGAAAGCTGGAGGGAAATCCTGGTTCAGCCCCGTAGGATTTATCACAGGGCCCCTCAATGACTAAACAGGGCTTCCTATACGCTGTTTAGAGCTTCACCCTCATGCTCAAAGTAGCCAGAAGCCGTACACCGTATGGTCTTTGGGCCCTAAAATATAACTTGACTTCTATAAAGTATGATTTTGTAGATCAGGAGTCGGAACTCGGGCTAAAGGTTGGGCATGTTGTGCTCAGACCACTCAATCCTAAACCCTGCCCTAAGGCTCCGAAAGGGGCTAAGGGTTCCTTTAAAGGGATCTATAAGGGTTTAGGGTTTTTATATAGGGTTTAGGGTATATATGGGGTTTAGGGGTTTAGGGATTACCCTAAGGCTCCGAAAGGGGTCATGGGCTTTCTGGGGGAAGGGTTTGGGCTTTGGGGGCTAAGGTTTGGGATCTGACAATGAGGGTCCAGGAGCCTCAGGGTAAACCCTAAAATGCTGAACCGCAAACCGTCCCTCAACCCTAAACCCAAACTTCTTATTCGGCCGCTGGTGTGCTGTCCGCTTCTTCTACAAGACGCCCAGACGCAAGCACAGCAACTCTCAGGCTAAATCCATCGAAGACCGAAGTATGGATAATAAGGATCCTGCTATTTAGGGTGCTATATTGGGGTTGCCCATTTCCGGAAACTCCAATATCTCCCAGAGCCCCCAGAGGATCAGGGTCTTACTTCGTTCGGATAGGGTTTTGGGGGGGTATGTTCCACCAAGGGTCCTAAGGACCCAGTAGTTAGGTACTTAGGCTCGTAGTTATGTAGGTTACTATTTGGGAAAGGGATATGATTATGAGGTACTTGGACTGTTGGGGTTCAGTAGATTTATGATCCCTAACAAATAGGTGATTATTAAATATCATGGCCCTAACTTTCCGTTAGCCCACCGACCTTGTGTGTCGAGGGCTAGACGACCCTAAGCCTTTAAAGCTAGGTTTGCTAATCAGGGGACGTTGCCCCAGGGATCAAAATAGCCCAAAAGCCTTGTATAGTATGGTCTTTGGGCCCAAAAGCCTTAATAGATGAGTCCTTAGATCCCTACGGTTGGAGTACACCGGCAGGACAGAGGAGGAGTACGCACCAAAGACGCTTTTGGCCCAAAGGCTATACTAGTACTTTAAGGCCCAGACTTAGTCTTAGTAAGGGCTCTTAAAGGGCTCCTCAAAGGGATCTATAGGGTTCCTTAAAGGGATCTATGGGGTTTAGGGTTTAGAGTCTACTTGGAGGGGCAGGGGACTTAGTAACTCGGTTGTAAGTAGGGTTATAGTTGGGGTAACTTCATTTAGGGTACTGATAACTCTACTTATAGCCTACTTACTAAGTCCCCTGAGCCTCTAAGTCATAATGACCGACCCAAGGACGAGCTTTCAGTGTGCAGTGCTTGCGCATTGGGCCCTTGAGAAATCTGGTGCTGCGGTTGATAATGCAAATCCTGCATTACCCATACTAGAAATTTACAATAGTTCCCACAGTCTAGGGCAGGATTTATATGATGTAACCGCTCGTCACTTCGCTGCCAGACGGCTGCTTTTACAAAGCTCTCAGCTGAGATGTCTTTTAGTCCTTCGCTGGAAACTTCTCAATATTCGTGGAGCTAGTTTGAGTTAAGGGTTTACGGTCTCAGCCACATGAAGCCTCACTTTAGAACGTCAAGCCCTACTAGCCTACACACACCAATGAGACTCAAGCCCTACGAAGAACCGTTTGAAACAAGGAATGTCGCCTCCAAACTCGAAAGCCCTGACTTGTAAAACCGTTACCCCGTACCACAATAGAACCTTGCGTGCAAACTTGCAAGCCCAAAGCATGAAAACTGGCCTAAACCCTAAACCCAGAGCATGAAAACAGCCCTAAACCCTGAACCCAACGCATGAAAACTTGCCTAAGCCCCAAAGCATGACAACAGCGAAAACAGTCCCAGGGAGTCGGGTTAAGGGTCGCTCAGGCTCGGGCTGGGTATTCGGATCTGTGGTTTCGGGCTCAGGGCGGATGCCTAGGTTCTATATAGGTGTTTCCGAAAAATAGGGGTACCTTATTTAGGGATCCTTATAGTAAGGATCCTACCATTTAGGGTACTATATTAGGGTCCCCTATTTTCGGAAACTCCCATATAGGTGTTTTTGTTTTAATTAGGATCCCTTTTTGGGTACCCCAAATAATAGGTGCCGTATTTTATCAAGGACCCAAGAAGGTGCCATAATTTTGACAACCACCCATATAGTAGTTCCTCTTTGGGATGGCTTTATAGGAATCAAAATAAGAACTCCAAAATGGAACTACTCTGGAGCCTATGGGTATGCCTCGGTTCTTAGGTGTATGGTGCACGGAGTTGTCGTTTGGTTCTGTCAGCCTGAAGAACAAGCTGCGATTTGAGATGAGCAGCTCACCTAGAGTCTGGAGGTCTGGCAAAGCGACGCTATGAGGCGCTATAGACTCTGCGTTTTGCAGGCGTGAAGTTGTCGCTAGCCTTGGCAAATCTGTCTACTTCGGCGGGCACTTTGTCCCTCAAACTTTAAACCATACCTTAGAAGGGGCCCCCACCCTGTAATAGTGGTATAATAGGAATATAATAGGGCCCTAATATAATCCTGATAGTCACTATTACAGGGTGGGGGCCCCTTCTAAACCATACCTGGAGGTTCACGAGCTGAAAACACCCCGACTCAAGCTATCAGGTCTCTGGACCCAAAGACCCTGCCGCGCAGCTTTGTCGGGGCCCTACCTAAACCACCCAAAGTAAGTAAAGTAATAGCCCAAAAACCTGTAAAAAGGCCATTACTCTACATACTTTTTGGGGTGCAGGTCTAGGATAGCGTAGACAACGACCAGCTGAAATGCTTTGTTAAAGGCGAAAGGGTCCTGATGCTAGTGCGGCCCTCACTAGGAGACTGTCAACAGAACACAAGGTGCTTCGGTTGATGATGTAAACCCTGCATTACCCATAATAAGGAATATACCATAATTCCCATGGTTTAGGGTCCTTAAGGTAATGCAGGATTTCTATCATCAACCGTTTTTACCAGATTCCGGGCCTTCCCAAGCAGATACTTTCGGGTTCAAGCGAAGCCTCATATTACACCTATAGTTATCCTTTCAACAGTATCAAAATGAATTGCTCATGAACCTCTTCCAGGCAATCCCAGCAACATTGCTGGAACATGTGGGTGGTTGTCAAGATTATGGTCCCCTTTTGGATACCCTACATATTAGAAGCCGTATCATCATCAGGACCCCAAGCGGGACCCTAATATTGACAACCACCCATGTGCGCAAAGGCCCCCTTAGGGGAGGGACCTCCAGAACTAGCGCAGCACTTCGATGATGCTAAACGCTCTATGCTAGGCCAAGGTTCTCAGCCGGAAGGGCTCCTAGGCGCTGCTTAAAGGATCATGGGACGTAACTAGGGTTCCTTAAAGGGCTCTTTTAAAGGGATCTATAGGGTTCCTTAAAGGGATCTATGGGGTTTAGAGTTTAAGGTCTACTTAAAGGATCATGGGACTTAGTAACTGGGGTTGTAATTAGGGTAACTATACTTATAACCCCACTGAAGGTACTTATAACCTTCATTACTAAGTCCCATGATCCTCCAAGTGTGGATAGTGAAGCACAGTGAAAACACTGCATAAGAACCCGCTGTTTAGGAACCTTAGCCCCTACCCTCAGGCGGAATTCACCAGATTCAAGTTGCTTCAACACTAAGAACCTCAGGGTACCCTAATTTTTGGGGTTCAGGTTCTTAATTTTTTGGGTTCGTTCCCTCACCAAGGAAGTTGAGAATCGAACACAAACGAAGTTGAGAATCGAAAACTCCCTAAATTTGAAAAAACCCTCCACCAGTTCAGGGGTGCAGGATTAAAGGAAAGATATTCCGACAGTACAAGCAAGAGAACTGGAATGTCCATGTTCTTGCGGAGGTATGCAGTACGTTTATAGGGGCTTCGGGTAAGAAAGCCAGAACTCATGACTTTCATCTCATGCTCTACCCTAAGGCTCCTAAGAGGGTCATGGGATCTTTGGGGAAAGGTTCGGGCTTCGGGGGCTAAGGTTTGGGATCTCACTACGAGGGTCCAGGAGCATTAGGGTAGAGTCTTATACAGCTTGCAACAGAAACTCTTAACGCACGTCCTGTTGTTACGGTAGAAGCCCAAAAGTTGGAAACCCAATAGCCTGAATTTTTATGAGTAATGCACAGGGAATTCCAACGCCCTTTTGCCTAAATTCGGTTTCCAACTTTACGGGGGTTACTGTAGTTTTTCAACCAAGTATACATGCCTAAACTCTGAACACCCACGTACGATGCAACAACGCTGGAATCCTTGAGGCGCTCAGGGAGCATCTGGTTCGAAGGCCTGCGTGCCCAGATCTTCCAAAATGAGGGGCTCCCTAAGCCTTACCTCTTGGCTTCCTTTAAGGCCCTAAACCCTAAACCCTAAAGGTACCCCTTTAAGGGTACCTTTGAGGGCTTCTTTAAGGCATCCCTGAAGGCTTCCTTTGGGGGATCCTTTAGGGGTTCCTTTCAGAACTCTTCTACGGCTTCCTTTAAGAGGGCACTGAAGCTTAAGGCGATACCCAGATCTTCCAAAATCCCTTCTTTACGGAAAATACCACACGTAAACCCCACAAAGTTGGAAACCGGATTAAGGCCAAATAGTGCTGGGATTCCCTATATATGACTCTTAAGGATTGAGTATTAGGGATGCTACTACAAGTAAACCCCAAGGGTCCAAAGAACCCAATAATTAGGTACTCGGGTTTAGGATAGTAACTATGTAGGTTAGGATTTCGGAGAGTATACGATTATCAGGTACTTGGACCCTTGGGGAAAGGTCTAATTGCTGCATATTGGAAGGTCTGGGTGAGTACACAGAAAGCCTTAAGTGATGGGAGGCCACAAGGGGGGTTTAAGGTTTTTGGGGTGGGGATTCCTTCATATGAACCCTAGAATGGGAACCCTAATCCCTATTAAACCCCCACAGGCTAAAACCCCTTTTGGCCTCCTATGATTAAGGCTTAGTGCTTTTTGGTTTGAGGTGGTTTAACACTTCAGGCTAAGAGTTTTCTTTAAAGTTATTAGCCTCTTGGGTCTACCACTACCCTTTAAGGCAGTCCCTAATTACCTCTTAATGAGAAATATCTTTACCGGGTACAGGTTTAGAGCCTCTAGGTTCTTAGGTTACTGCGTCTAGATAGCACGGTCTATGAGGCATAAGGCTTGCGGGCTTCAAGGCTTTAGGATTCTACCGCTTACGAGCAACGAGCCCTATGATATGATGATATGAGGCTGAAGGTCTTGAGAGTCTACTGATTAAACAGAATAAAAACAAATATATTCAGCGAGCTCAAGAAGACCCCAACCTATAACCAAGCCCTCATGCAAGTCTCTACAAGCCATGTATATTTATATTAAATATGCTCCTACACCTCCCCGCCCTACGTTGTCATTGAACTAAACCCTTATATACGGAGACACTAACCTACCAGCGGAGGCACTAACCTACTGTTTTGAGGGCTGTACCCGATAGTCACATTTCGGCGCATGCAGAGTTCCGGGCTTCAGAATAGCCCTCCATCTTATGTCGTATACCCTCAGCTACAAACTCAACCCATCAACCCTGCCTAGACCCCCCAGCTACCCTCCATTATACCCCACATACCCACTATGAAGCACTACAAGGGCTCACGGTCCTGAGCCGGACACCCTAAACTGTGTCAGGGTTTAGGGTCTTAGGGTTTAAGGGTTTAGGGCTTTGTGGTTTAAGGGTTTAGGGTTTAGGGTTTACGGGTTTAGGGGTGAGGGTTTACGGGTTTAGGGTTTCCAATCCCCGGATGCCACCGTTGTCGCCTGCATCAGCCGCAGGGGAATCAAGTCAGCCTCCAGAAGCCTTTGGTATTAGGGCTTTTTAAAACAGGTCCTTAAAGGGTTGCTTAAAGCGATCTATAGGGCTTAGGTGGTAAAGGGTCTAGGGTTTTTAAAGTTTTGTTTCGGTTAGGGTTTTAGGTCTAGCGTTGGGGCTTAAGGTTAATGTTTAAGGTTTAGGGCTTAGGTTTTCGGGTAAGCCGTTTTCTTTTATTTGGGTGACTGTTGCCTCACGTGAGCACTTAGGGTTGATGCTGCAGCTTGAATTTTGTTCTACGCTCTCCTTGGGTTGCAACGGGCTTGATCAGGACTTCGCGAGAGTTTCACAGGCAGTTTTTGTGGGTCATGATAGGGTTAGGTTGGGGTTAGGGTTAGGTTTAAGGTTAGGGACATATATATATATATATATGAATATATTAATATATATTAATATAATAATATATGTGGCTAGAGCTATGGTTTGGGCTTGAAGGGGGATACAGGGTTTCCTTGGACCCCCAAGAGCCTTCTATTTTAGCGTTTCCTATTATGATTTCCTTATAGTCTTCAAAAAGGTAGGTTATTTGGCGCTAGGGAGGGTTTAAGGATGTTTAGTTGAGGGTTGCGGGTTAGCCACCCTTAAGCGCAATGCCAAACCTATCCTGGCCCCCCGAACCCTTGAATATGGGAGTTGCCGAAAATGGCGGTACCTTATTTAGGGGTCCTTACAGTAAAGATCCTACTATTTGGGGTGCTACAATTAGGATCCCCTATTTCGGAAACCCCATATGCAATAGCACATTACAGCTGCCCTATACCGGGAATAAAGTGTACCTTCATGCCAAATAGCCTACCTGTTTACGGACATTTCTACGGATCTCTGAACCAGGAACCTACAAGCATAGGCTGTATCGTTGTACCCGTGAAAACAGAAAGCACCTAAGGGAAGTTGCAGCCGCATGACTCCAGAGCATTGCGGAGCTCGACGAACTTCTGGTTGGCTTCCTCTTGCAAACATAGCGCTTTTGGGATTTCAGGGTTCAAGACTCAGAGATCCCATGTTAATTAAGGAATATGCCTTAAGTAATAGGGGACTTCATATTATGGTTTAAGGTATCTTGCTTAATTAAGGGATATTGGGGTCTCTGGGAACCCTCAACCTTAAACCTGTTTTTCAATGTTTAGGGCTGGGGTCCATGTGGCTTAGGGCTTAAAGTGCAGGGTTTCAGGTGCTCTCTCCCAAACTTTGCGGCGCCTCTTTAAAACCTCAAAATCCCTATAAGTCTCCTTGAGCCTCGTAGTGTTGAGAGTTTAGGGTTTAAGGTTTATAGGGTTTACCCTAAAGCTCATGGACTCTCGTAGTGAGATCCCAAAGTTTAGGCGCCCAAAGCCCGAACCCTCTGCCAGAAAGCCCGTGGCCCTTTGGGAGCCTTGGGCAAAAACTATACTACCTACTGGTTAAACCCTACTAAACCCTAACCCTTAAACCCTACTACAGTGAAAATACTGTATAAGAAACCCACTGTTTAAGAACCTGAGCCCTACCCAGGCGGAATTCACCAGATTCAAGTTGCTTCAATATTAAGAACCGTAGGGTACCCTAGTTTTTTGGGTCAGGTTCGTAATATTATGGGTGCTTTCTCTCACTAAGGAATTTAGAATCGAAAACTCAATTTCCCAACCTCCACATCAAGAAACCCTCTGCCCGAACATAATAAACCTATAATGGCTTGATGGCCACAGGAATGCCACGGCGCCTTGGTTGTGCATAGGTTCTGGAGACACGCTGCGGTTTCGAACCCCTCTGGTGTCATACTCCGGAAGTTTAGAATTGAAAACTAAGTTTTCCAAACCTCCAGCATCCTGCCTGTTCTCCCCTGACTCCAATGTACCAGGATATTTAGAATTGAAAAGTAAATTTGTCCAGACTCCGAGCCCTGTGCTTCCCTGAAGTAACAGTAGTAGCGGTAGTAGTACCACTTTTTCTTCTACGACTGCTACTACTACGACTGTACTGCTCCTGCTGTTTGCTGCTGCTACTCATGCTACCATTACTTCTGCTTCTGCTACTCCTCTCAGACCCCAAAATGCTTGAAAGACCCCTAAACGCCCTGAACAGAACCCTGAACCCGTTAATAAGCGGAGGCTTCCAGTTCAGGCAATGACGAGCTACATTCCCAAAAGCTGCTCCCTCAAATTAGGGTTTGGGGGATAGGGGTGAGGGTAAGCTGATCTAGCTGTGGCATTTTGGGGCTCAAAGATTGGAATCTGAGGGCTCAGGCTTCTGTTTAGGATTTAGAGTTCAAAGTTTGGGAAGTTGGGTGATGCTTACAACCCTACGTACTGGCAGTTACCCATGAACCTCCAGTTCAAGAGGGCTTTCGGAAACGAACAACGAGCTCCCAAATGCCTAAACCCAAAGCACTAAACCCCACGTGTAAACCCCCAAACCCTGCAAGCCCCTAAAGTACCGCCCCAAACCGCTTGCCGCCGAGACCGTTGTGACTTCAGGAAGCCTTGCGTCCTTGCGCCGCCAGAGGCCGTGCCGGATGCTCGAGGATCCGGAAACAAAAGCTGAAACAAAAGCCGGAGATCGGTCAAGGTTCCCGCTCTAGGAGGCCGGCTTTAAGTTGGCCAGTGGATACCGCTTGCGGGACCCGTTGCCGAAAAGGACAATGCCAACGTCGCCCTGAACATCATCCAAAATACCTGAGGTGCATGTAACAAGATCTTCCGTAGCGCAGTGGTTCCGCGCGCGCAGCTACGCGCGAAAGCTTCGACGAGCTGTGGGAATTTAGAATTGAAAACTAAATTTTCCAGACCCCCATGGCCCACCGCCCCCCCCCCCACAAGATAATGTAGAATCCGAAAGTAAATTTCCTGAGAGCCCTCAGTCAAGGTATCAATCGCGGATAAGACCGTGGTTAAGAACCTGAGCCTACCCTAGCTGCTCGACCGGCAAAATCACATGTAATGGAAATTAAGAACCTTAGGGTAGGCTACTCTCGCCGAACGGGGTTCTTATACAGGGTTTTCACCGTTGGGATCCGTAGGGTTTGTGGCCATTTAGGAATTGCAGTGTGGGAACATATTGGCGCTAAACACACCGAAGCCCGACCGTCGAAGCCTAAAGCCGAAAATCCTTGCATGCCCTAAAACCATAAACCAAAACCCTTTTCAATCCCTGAAACCTTGGACTCAAGCCGTCTTCATAGATTTTTAACTTATAATTATAACATTTTGTAAGACCCTTTCACTACCCCATACGAAACCCAAGGCACGGACCTTCACTTGACCACCCTCTAAAACCTAAACCGTAAACTGTGAACCCAACCCTAAACCGAAACCTTAATCCCTAAAGCCCAACTCCTACTGTAACACCCTACATCCTGACCCGAAACAAACCTTAATCCCTAAAGCCCAAATCCTACTGTAAACCCTATAAACCCTAAAGCCCTAAACCCTATAAACCCTAAAGCCCTAAACCCTATAAACCCTACAGCCCTAAACCCTATAAACCCTAAAGCCCTAAACCCTAGACCCAAATCCCAAACCCTTACCTTGCGACCCTGACCCTGAAGCCCTAGCTTCACTTGACCCTAATCCCTAGAAATCCGAAACCCTACCCTAAGGCTCCTAAGAGGGTCATGGGATCTCTGGGGGAGGGTTTGGGCTTTGGGGGCTAAGGTTTGGGATCTCACTACGAGGGTCCAGGAGCCTTAGGGCAAGCCCCGGACCATGAACCCTATAAAGCCCCTAAACCCCTACTTGGAGGGTCGAGAGACTTGGTAAGTAGGTAGTTAGTAGACTTACAAGTACCCTAAAAGGGACCCTAATTGGGGTTATGGTACTTATAAGTCCCTAAAATAACCAGTTACTAAGTCCCCCGACCCTCCAAGTAACCCTTAACCCCCTAACCCTAAAACCCCCAAACCCCTAAGTGCGAAAGCCCGCAAGGAACCCTAATCCCTGAATCCTAAACCCTATAAAGCCCTGAACCCTTGACCCTAAAGCCGTAAACCCTGAACCCGAAACCCTAAAACCTATAGATCCCTTTAAAAGGAACCCTTCTGGATCCCTTTAAAAAGGAACCCTAACAGATCCCGTTTAGAGGAACCCCAAAAAGGAACCCTAAAGCCCTATAGAGCCTCGAAGCCCCAATGCCCTGGCTTCGCCCTAAACCCTGAACCCTAGAGATCCATTTAAAGGAACCCTTATACGGTTTAGGGTTTAGGGTTTAGGGTTTAGAATTGGGTTTAGGGTTTAGGGGGGATCCCAAACCCTAAACTCTGACCCTATAAACCCTACAGTAGAACCCAGAAAAGTTGGAAGAATCATTATCCCCACGTCCTTAAGTTAAAGTATAAGGGGATCCTAGCACTAATCCTCCTGAAGCCATGTTCCGACTTCCTGGAGTTCACGCTAAAGCCCTAGCTTCGCTTGACCATTCCCTAAGGCTCCATGTACCCTTATAGTAGATACTTAGGCCTTAAAGGACCTATATAGGGACTACTTTGGGGCTTAAGTATCTACTATAAGGGTACATGGAGCCTTTGGGATTGCCGAGCCCGCCTGCTTGGCTCCAGCATCGCTATGGCGATCCGGATGCCAGCGCCTAGAGTCTAGAGCTTCGAGGGTGCCTTTAGGGTTCCTTTAAGGGGGTCCTTTAACGGGCTCCTTTAAAGGGATCTTTTTGGGGGTCTATAAGGGTTCCTTTTAAAAGGGTATGTAAGGGCATAAGGGCTATAGATCTACAGTAAGGTGCCAGCGCCTTGGGCTTCGAAGGGCCTTTAGGGTTCCTTTCAATATATTAAAGGGTTCCCTAGGGCTTCTAAGAGGGGTTTGGCTTGGTCTACCCTGAGGATTTCGAGACCCTCATTGTGAGATCCCAAACTATACCAAGGCCCAAACCCCTTCCCCCAGAAGTCCATGACCTGTTTCGGAACCTTCGGGTAGGGTTTAGGGCTTCGAAGGGTCTAGGGTTCCCTAAAACGGTTCCTTAAGGGGCTTATACGGGACCTAAAGAAGGGTTCTATAGTATAGGGGCCTTGGTAGTTAAAACAAGATTTTTGGGCCCATCATGAGGGATCTGTAGTAGGGTGCCAGCGCCTGGGGCTTCGGCAAGGGGTCCTTTAAAGGGTTCCTTTAAAGGGGTCTTCAAGGGTTCCTGTAAAAGGGTATATAAGGGCTACTGTAAGGGATCTATAGTAGGGTGCCAACACCTAGGGCTTCGAAGGGTTGAGGGCGTGGGTGTTTAGGGTTTAGGGTTTAGGGGTTTGGGGTTTAGGGTTTGGGGTCTGGGGTATTTAGGTTTAGGGCATGCGGTTTAGGGTGTTGACTAGACGAGATTTAGGGATTCAAATCCTTTTCTGCTTCTCTATGGGCCTATCTACCTATCCACCGACCTATCTGCATCGACATGACTATCTGAATATCTACTACAGTAACCTGCCCGCCTGCCTGCCTGCCTACCCAGCCAGCTAACCACCTTGGGCGGTTCAAGCCTGTCGGGATTGTAGGCTACCTACTCTCATCCTAGAAGTCCAAAGCACTCGAAAATTAGGTTGGGATTACCCGAGGGGTTCGAAGTACCAATATGGTGAAATATAGGCTTTCTATGTTAGGAACTGCTATCATGATTTGGGGAAGTATCCCCCGTAACAGTACCTAGGTCCGTTTGGGTTAAGATAGTGGGTTAGGGTTTGGGGCGATGCAGGTTAGTATTTGAGGGAGGGCATAGTTGCTGCGTGGTTGGACCTTTTCGAGCTACTTGCCCATACCCAAAGTAGTTCCTTTTTGGGGTTCGTATATAGAATCATATAAGGTAATCCCCAAAGGAACTACTTTGGGGCCAAGGGGAAGGCATCCTTCATCCTTCCTACCTTCATGCCATCTTTTGAGCACCCCTAAGCTGAGGCATGCACAGAGCTTGGCTGCGGTAGGCTTTGCGGAGAGCCTTGAGACATTCTGTGCAATTGCAACACATGTGTGTGTGAGTGTGTGTGATCATCGACATAATTCTTCATTTGCTGCTTCGAAAGAGCGCATGTATGTAACTTCCATGTATGTATATATGTACGTATGAGTATATATACATGTATGTATGGAAAGATTATATATATATATATACACAGCCAAACATACACACAGACACCCAAAGTAGCAGGGTTTCACACACCCAGACCCAAGAGAGTCATTATACTTGATACCTCTATGGCTACATTGTGCGGGTGCTTGGGCCTAGGTTTTGGGTTGCAGGTGTAGGGCTTCGGATTTTTGAGTTTATAAAATAGGGCTTTGGGTGTAGACTGCTTGCGGGGAGGCAAGGAACGAATAAAGCAAAACTGACTTTGAAGTACTTTAAGTAAGGAGCCACAAACGTGCACAGGACCTCAAAATTCGGTACCTGGCTCTAGGATAGCAGGTTAGGGATTATGGTCTAAGGTCTCGGTTCGCATCTGGGAACGTTTCTGACTGCTAGGTAGTTGGTGCACAACGAAGTACTACTCAAAGGATATTGGGACTTAGTAAGTAGGTTATAATTGGGGATATAAGTCCCCTAAGTGGGGTTATCCTAACTATAACCTACTTATAACCTTACTTACTAAGTCCCCTGCCCCTCCAAGTAGTGAAAGATGCATGCTCGATCGCGCAAACTTCAGACCTTACACCCTAAGCCCGAAACTCTACACCCTACCATAGCGCATGGAGGACAAAATTGCCAGAGACCCCTCAGATACCCTGCAAAACCAGCATTGCAAGAACGCCCTTACCCCGACCAAAAGACATCCTACTTGTTACGGCATGCTACGGCCTTGGGAGCCTAATGCCATAATAGCAGTACATCTGGACCCCTTTGGTTAGAGAGTCCTGATCTACCCAATACCCACCCAGAAGCTCAATTAAGCGCTGCTGTGCCTGTGCAGTAACTGGCTGCTGTGGCTCGAAGCCAAGAATCGAGAGTGCCTGCGGCACTTCGCGCTTGGGGTTGCAGTAGGCATCCAACTAGTATATTACCAAGCTGGTCTACATGTACCCACATTCTGGAGATATGCTTTGCAGGACCATCGCTGTCGTGGCTTTAGCAGACTGCTCCGCCATGGTCCTACATACTACCCCAGGGTCAAAAGTAATCATCTATCACCGTAACCTGAGTCTTAAGGGTAGAACCGGGTAGATATACAGCCTGAATTTCTTTTTAAACCTAAGCAACTAGCTTCGGGGGCGTATCATAATGGGATGATAAGTACGTGTCTACGTAGTCAGGTCAAAAGCACACCACGAAACTTAGAACCCATTCTGAATCAACCCTAAACCCTAAACCCTAGTCTGAAAGTTAGCCTTCTAGGACCTATATGGCCAGAACCTGAAACAAAACCAGGAACAGGCTTCCTAAGGTCAATTGCCTAAAGTCCCAAAGTACATCAAGCCTACCCAGACCCCCGCCAGGATCTAGAAAGTAGATCCCCTAATTTGGGGCCCTATACTACTAAGGTTACTTAATCGGAACCCCCATTAGGCAATATACTTTTTGGATCCTCCCGGCCTCCCGGCCGTCTGAGTAACCAGTTCCTCAGCCCTAGAACCCCAAACCTTAAACCCTAAACCCCTTTTTTGAACCCTTATACATTGATTCCTTTACAGGAAACCCTATGGATCACTTTCAAGGACCCTGAAGCAAACACAAGATCTTAATTCTGATGGTCTTCGGCGGGAATGCTGAGATTCTGGCTACGGGGTTTTGGGGGTTCAGGGATCTGGGTTTAGACGTTTAGGATTTAGGAGTTTAGGGGTTTAGGGGTCTAATGTTGGGGGTTCGGGGTCTCGAGTTTAAGGGTTTAGGGTCGGGGTGTCGAGTTTCGGGGTTTCGGGTTTGAACCAATCTCAAACCCGTCTACTTAGGGCTCAAGGGCGTTGAACTTAGCTTTTTAAGTTGGTGTTATAAGTTGGTAAACGTACTTGTGGCCTGACCCACCAAGTCCCATGAACCTTTGAGTTCGGGTTCCGGGGGTTCGAGGATTCGAGGTTCAGGGCTTGAAAGGGGCTTTGAGCTTTGGGTCCTGTACGCAGGGATCTGTGAGCTTTTGCGTTTTGGAGGTTTTGTGTTGAGTGGTGGGGAATCAGCAAATTGGCTATACCGAGCTCATGGACCCTCGTTGTGAGATCCCAAGCCTTAGCCCCAAAGCCCAAACCCTTCCCCCAGAAAGCCCATGACCCCTTTCGGAGCCTTAGGTTAGTCCCTAAACCCTGTATATACCCTAAGCCCTAAGCCCTATATAAACCCGATAAAACCCTAAACCCTTACAGATCCCTTTAATGACCCCTTTCGGAGCCTTAGGGTACAATCGAGCATTCACGCTCCGAGGAGGCGCCATCAACCCTAAGCCCGGAAACATTCATCCTGCATCCGGACTCCCACCACAAAAATGTACCTCGACGCCTTCAAGCTACCCAAATCCCAAACCAGAACACCCTTCTAAACCCTAAACCCTAAACCAACCCTAAACCCTAAGGAACCCTAATAGGGTTCAGGGCCTTGGCGCGTGTCATGCCATGGTTGGGCCGCAATACCGGAGGAGGAGGGCGCCTCGGACACTCACGGTTAGGGCTTATAGGGTTTAGGGTTTAGGGTTTAGAGGGCAGGGCAGGGCAGGGCAGGGCAGGGGGGCAGGGAGAGGGTAGGCCAGCGGGGGACGGTCAGGCAGGCCCAAGGCCAGGCTCAGGGCCAGCGCAACCAGGGCCAGGCCAGGGCCAGGGCCAATTTCACGGATAGGCCCAGCCAGGGTCAGAGCAGGCAGCACCTGAGCCTCCTCCGCTGCGCCTGTCGCGCCAGCTCGGAGCAAGCCTCGCTGACGCCTCGGCACGCTCGCTGCTGCTATTCGCAGCGCCCGCAGCTCGCTTCAGTTTAGGGTTTAGGGTTTAGAGTTTAGGGTTTAGGGTGTATAGGTTACTTGAAGGCTCATGGGACTTAGTAAGTAAGGTTACAAGTATTTAAGTTGTAATTAGGATAACCCGCTTAGAGGACTTATAACCCCAATTATAACTTACTTACAAAGCCCCATGATCCTCTAAGTAGGGTTTAGGGTTTAGAGAGACTCCCAAACCCCTTACTTTCGGAATATTCCTTGCGTCATTGGGATCCTAGTGCAATAGGGTTTGGGGTTTGGGGGTTTAGGGTTTAGGGTAATTGCAGGTATATCCCTTGATGAGAGATTTTACAGTCTCTGGGGACTTTGAGGATGTAGCTGAAAGGGTTTGAGCATTGAGAATTAGGGCACTTAACTACGATGATAACAACGTTTACTGAGTGCCGTAAGGTACCATAACGGTGCCTATTATATGGGTCTATATGGTGGTCTTGCTCATAAGGGCTTCTTAGGGGCTCAGTACCCTGACCCGAAGGGTTTAACCTTTGCAATTCTGGTAGGATTGTAAACCCCGAGAGGTTAACGGCTACTTACTCAGCTACTCAGGCTTTTACCGGTGCTCTTTGTTAAGGCCGAATGACGTCTACCAGTAAGTATATGTACCTTAAACAGGAATCGTGTCGTTTTTAGGGCTTAAGGGTTGTCTCTGTTGCATCCGGATGGTCATACAGAGCATTGCCCTAAAAACGAAATGAACCCCAAAAGGGACTAAGGCTCATATATCACGCAGGGATTCATGGTGATTATAAGGGCATAGGGCCCCTACTTTTGAGGCCATCTGGTCTTTCGGGAGATCACCGGCATCTTAGGCAGGTTGAGTGCATCGACCCCTAAAGCACTAAAGCCCCAAATCCCTACAGCCCCAAAGCCCTAAAACCCTACAGCCCTAAAACCCTAAAGCTCACAAACCCTAAATCCCTAAAACCCTGAAGCCGTAACGACAAACTATCCGAAGACTTCCTGCATGGGGAGTTCCTGCTGAGGGCCAGGCGCCTCTCCGCGGAAAGGAGCGGCCTCGGCCAGGCTATGGAGCCTGTTAAGGGCCAAATGACCCCTACCAGTAAGTATATGCACCTTAAACAGGAATCCTGTCGTTTTCAAGGTTTAAGGGTTGTCTCGTGGGGTGGTTGTCAAAATTGGGGTCTCAATTTGGGTGCCCATTTTATTAGGTGCCGTATTATTTTGGGGACCCAAAAAGGGACCCTAATTTTGACAACCACCCACATGTACACCCAGACCTTCCGCAATCCCTTACTTAAGGAATATACCTTAAATCATATTAGGGGTCCTATTATAATTTAAGATATATTCCTTAATCAAGGGATTTTGGAAGTTGTGGGCACCCTCCACGAAGCCATTCCTCAATCAGGAGACTCTGGGACTCTACGGAAATCCCGAAGCTAAGAGCATCGAAACCCTCAAAAACCCCTAATCCCTTAGCCTTAAAAATTCTAAACCCTAAACCCCTAATATAGGGGCCTTAGCAATTAGAATAGGGTGTTGGGGGCCATTATGCTTAAACTATAATAAAGAACCCACCAAAATAGTATAGGTAATTATTTAGGCCCCTATACTAATCCCTTAGCATCAAGAGCCTGGAAACCGCCTTCAACCCCTTAGCACCCCCAAACCCTTAAACCGCCTTGAATATTTGGAACCCTTAACCATCTCAAAACCCATCAAAACCCTCTAACCACCACCCACAAACCCACACCAAAACCTAAAACCGTAAAACCCAAACCCAAAACTCCAAAACCCCTAAACCCCAAAACCCTGTACAGAACCCTGATAGATCCCTTCAAGAGGAACTCTTATGGATCCCTTTTAAACAGGAACTTTTCAAGAAGCCCTAAACCTTCAAACAAAAACACTGAGAAGGCTGCTGGCCGGGCTTTCGGAGCTGCTTTCGACCTGGCTGCGACGTTCCTCAAAGGAAGAGTTCCTTCAAGGGTTCTATAAGGTGCCCTTTTGGCGGTTCCTTGAATAAGGTCTTTGGGCCTAGCCTGACCCTAGAACCTGAAGCCAAACCCTACCTAGAGAGGCGGTCTAGGACCAATCATACTTATCATACTTCTTGTACAAACCAAAAGGGTCCATGTACTCATGTAGTATATACATTGGCCTCAAAGTACTCCTTACATAGGTACATTGGGCCCAAAGTATATGCTATAATAATATGGGTACATCATAGAGAAAGAGAAAAGAATCAGGTTCGGCTGTGGCTCGCCCGCCGTCGCGAACTGTCGCACCCAAAAAAAAAGTCCGACGCGTGGTGGGACCCAATGGCCTGGTACAGCTGGCCCTGGTAATGTAAGAACCTGATTAAGAAACCTTGGGCCTTTACTAGAGTTCTATAAGGGTTCCTTTGAAGGGTACTATAAGGTACTATAAGGGTTTTTTTGGGGGTTAATGAAAGAACCTGATTATAAGAAACCTTGGGCCTTGAGGGTTCCTTATATGGGTGGTTGTCAAAATTATGGTCCCTGTTTGGGTCCCTATAATAATACGGCACCTAATATGTAGGGTGCCCAAAAAGAGGCCATAATTTTGACAACCACCCCTGTGAATCCTACTATTTTGAGGTTACAGGCCCATGGTTTCTTAATCAGGTTCCTACACTATGGAATCGGTACAACGACCGGGTGAGCTTGCCAGTCCTCGTTCAACATGTCAAGGATGCACGAGTTGAATCGCCCATCGAGTCCAACTCGTACGCCATTCTGCATTCTCCGTTGAGCGGCCTTCGTGATCTAGTTGAAGGCCAGCCTGGCTGTCTGTTTGTCCGTTGGAAATGCATCTGAATGTGCTTTGTTGTCTGGGCTCTGCTAACTCAAGTAAGGTTCCTGATTACCCATACGCTCTATAGTAGTTCCTTTTTGGGGCCATTTGGGGCTCATATTTCTTGTAGGGTAATCCCAAAAAGGAACTATGGAGCCTATGGGTAAGTACTCAACGGCACATTATGTAATCGGAGCCAACTGCATCTCACACTGGTCCGGTGAGAGAACTGAGAATGGCACTGCAGCATCCTGTCGCCCTCGCCATCCCGCTACCCCGTTTTGGGGGTACCGAATTGGGGGGCAGGGTATCGCCGAATGAAGTTATTATTACTGTATACCCATAGGCTCCATAGTAGTTCCTTTTTGGATTACCTTTTTGGACTCTAAACATGAACTCCAGAAAGGAACTACTCTGGAGCCTATGGGTAATTTACAAGGAACTTATGAGGAATGACTGGAGCCTCGGGATTAAAGATGCAGCGGTTTGGGGAAATGAGGGAAGGGGCTTTGGGGAGTTAGGTTTCGGGTTTATCAAAGGGGAAGAGGAGGGACCCTTAATGGGACCCCTACCCTATAATGGGGCTATAGAATGGGTATATCATAGCTATATTAAGGGTATATACCCAGTGGTCCTTATTCAGGGTCCCTCCTTTTACCCTTGGATTTCGGGTTTAGAAGTTTTGAGGGCTTGGTACGTTCGGCCCTTCACAGTAGGCTGGAGGTTCCCTCTTTTCAATCATGGGGGAGGCTATATAAACCCCAAAAGGCCCAAAAGGTTAAAGGTTACCTACTCAGCTACTAAGTTAGGATTCCTGGAATTCTGCAGTCGGCAGATCAGGTGTTGACACTAAGTATGCCCTGATGTCCCTGATGTCCCCAAAAGGCATCCGGGGTTCAAAAGGAAAGCTCTGAGCCTTACTCTCAGGCTTCTAAGAAGGTCTTGGGCTTTCTGGGGGAGGCTTTCGGCTTTGGGGGCTGGGGTTTAGGATTTTACTACGCGGGTCCAGGAGCCTTAGATACCTCAAACCTATCTAAAACACCCAACACCCTATAAAAGAATTGTGCAACCCATTAGCAGCCCCTGATTAAGCTAGACCCCGAGGTCTAAAACCTGTCACCGAGATAGTAAACCGCACCACGCTAAACTCTAGGCCTTGAACCCATTACACCCCATACCCTAAACCCCTAACCCGAAACTCGAAAGGCATAAAACGGAAAAACAAAAAAACACTACTACAGGGGCCTTAATCATATCAGTAGAATAGGGTTTTGGGGCCCATTATACTATAAATCCAATTAGGAACCCCGAAAATAGTATGGCCCTTGTAGGCCCCTTTAAAGGAACCCTAAACCCTAAAACCAGCCCAGGGTCCGCACTCGGCTTTCTGCTTCCCCCGACCTGTGCAAAGTTGAAGCGAGAAATCCCCAACAAAGGAACGTGGATGGTCAGGGTCCCGCTAGGGTTTAGGGTTTAGGGCTTTAGGTTTTAGGGATTAGGGTTTAGGGGGTTCCTCTTTAAACCCTTAAACCCTTTGGAGTTTTAGGTTGCGACATTAGCACCAAAGAATTGGGGTTAGAAGAGCTGGATATAGTATGTTTTTCTTTCACAATACACTTACCTACTGCTGCTCGGTGTTTCACCTTGATAGCCTTACGTCGCACAAAATGCCAGGTGACATGGGACGGCACTTGCGGTGCCACCTGCAAGGTGAGCTAGTGCTCCCCACAGGCTGACCTTCCTTTAGGGTTAAGGAGTTTTGGGTTTGGGGTTTAGGGCTTGGGGTCTAGGTGACCTTCCCCTGACATGTTTGCCTGTTGCATTTGTACTCACAGATGTAGGACTAGGTCCGAATGTCTTCGAAGCCATGATGGAAACAAGTTCCACTGTACCTCAACATGCAAGGTGCGTGATTGATGTTTGGCTTCGGAGCAAGAGGAGATAAGAGATCTGAATCTGTGTACCAAGATCGACATCGTAACTAATGTACTTCTCTTGACTTGCTGTCGCTTCCAAGGGTCAACCCTGGGGCGATGCAGCACCAAGCCTAATACATACTAATGCTACAATATCTTGTGCCATGATCCAGCATAACCGAAAACAACGACTTAAAGGAAAGGCTCTGAATGTAATAGGACAGATCAGAGTATTGATACAAAGAAGAGAATATGCATGCAAGAGAATATTCAAAGAAGAAAACATATAATAATATGGAACATGGATTATGACACAGAGCCTCTACGACTTATGTAAGGAAATCGTAGGCAAGAAACCCTAAGCACGTGGGTTTTCTAGGGTTCAGCCAAGGTTTAGGAACGGGCTTCCCTGCCCCTAGCATAGCCTTGCAGAATTGAGAAGCACATCCTTCGGTTGATGATGTAAATCCTGCATTACCCTAAGGACCCTAAACTATGCGAACTTTGGTATATTCCTTACCCCAAAACGGTGAAAAGGTTGAGCTACTCAGCTATAAAGCAGAAACAAAAGACTCAGAAATCAACATTCAGGACTGCTACCACATCCTGCGTCGAAATAGGGATTTCGATGTCTATGAGCTGGGCTCTGAGATGTACTATTCGGTTCTGGGCAAAGTGTACCCTGAGGCAAAAGTACCCCAAAGGCCTTACATGTACTATCTAGGATACCCAGTAACCTAAGAATAAAAAGGCCTCTATTTTTGGTATTGGGTAACTTTATAAGGAACCTAGGACTACAAAAAGGGAATAAGGGTACTACTGGGCATCCTAGCTATGATCTTTGCGCCCAACAGTTGGCGCTCAAAGCCTTCGGGCGGGTTTACCGGCCCAAAGTGCCAAACACTCTTAGCTATAGGGTATATATAACCCTTGCAGGAGGTTACTTGGAGGGTCGAGAGACTTAGTAAGTAGGTAGTTAGTAGACTTATAAGTACCCTAAAAGGGACCCTAATTGGGGTTATGGTACTTATAAGTCCCTAAAATAACCAGTTACTAAGTCCCCCGACCTTCCAAGTAGGGTACATATAATCCTTGCAGGAGGTTAGCAGGTTATTGAATCCCTGGGTAAGGCTAAGAGTTGTAGAAAACGAGATGAACACAAGGGATACAAATACCCTGGATGGCGCCAACTAATGGAACCCTCTATTTGCATTGGAGTGTTAAGGTGTAGGAATTAGGACCTACGGCTTCGCAAGGGTCCACATGGAGCTTTCGATGCCACTTTGAGTGTTCCGAGCCCCTCTCAAGTAGAGTAGCCTTCTGCAACCGAAAAATTGTTTCCAAAGCCCTGAAACCTAAATCTCTACCCTAAGGCTCCTGGACCCTCGTAGCGAAATCCCAAACCTTAGCCCCGAAAGCCCAAACCCTTCCCCCAGAAAACCCATGACCCCTTTGGGAGCCTTAGGGTAGTCCCTGAAACCCTAAACCCTATAAATACCCTAAGCTCTGTATAAATCCAATTAAACCCTAAACTCTTATAGATCCCTTAAACTAGACCTAAGAGTAACCTGGGAATAAAAAGGGTGCCCTTTTTGGTTTAAAGGGGCTTATAAGGGAACCTACCCCCTAAAAAAGGGAATAAGGGCCTACTCCGGGTCCTAGTAAAAGGGTTCCATGACTCCTTTGGGAGCCTTAGGGTAGACCCTGGAAACAGACCGCACCTGCGAAGATGGTTAGCTGGCCCGGAAACGACGGTTTATGCTCTGGCACAATACCCCAAGGGTCCAAAGGACCCAAAGGGTTTAGGGTTCCTTTAAAGGCGTCTATAAGGGGCTACTATGATGGCTACTCTAAGGGTTCCATATTATAGGGGCCGAATAATCAGGCACTCGGTTTGAGGATAGTAGTTACGTAGGTTAGGATTTGGGAAAGTATATGATTATTAGGTACTTGGACCCTTGGGGATAGAGGCTGCAGGTAAGTGTAGGTCCGGGTCTTTATTGAAAACCACAAAACCGACGAACCCCTAAACACAAAGCCTTGCAATTTACTACCATAGTGGTAGTACATAACTATAGGCTCCATTGTGGTTCCTTTTTGTGGTTTATATCTGGGATCCTATAAGGCAAGCCCCAAAAAGTACCTACAATGGAGTCTGTGTGTATCCCAGAGGGTCCAAGTACCCACATAGTAGAGTTTTATATCCCCAAATCCATACCCCGAGTGGTTTTTGGAGCTTGAAACCCTACTATTTGGGTACTTGGACCCTTGGGGCGAGAACCTACTCTCTCCAAGACTGAAACCAGGAAACCCCGGGAACCCGACACCCTACAGCCCTACCTGTCGCCCCAACCCCACCGTCTGCCGCTCACCATTGAAATCCATCTTTTGTCTACGGAGCGGCCAAACCCTCAGAAGCACCTAAGGGTTGTCTAGCACCAGCCACGTCTCGCGGCTTGTGGCCAAAACCTGGCAGGATATATTTCGTATTTTCGGCTGTTGACAAAAGAAGGCAGCACTACCTATCACTACTTCAAGGTCGAATCTCATGGCCTGGCCCGGTCGGGTCAGCTGCGCCATCCATGCACAACTCAAGTCGTCGTTCATCTTCTTGTACATGAGAAACAAGTTGATGGACTTCCTCGTCAAATAGTGCGGGCTGATGGACGAGTCCTTGACCATGGCGGGGAAGAAGCTCAGCCCTGTGTCGCTGGCAGTGCACCGCTTCGCACTGAACACGGAAGCTTTGCCGGTCTGCGTCACAGGGATGCTGTGAATGGCCGAAACTACGGTTGATGAGATAAATCCTGCATTACCAGAATGAGGAATAATTATACCATAACTTCCATAGTCCAGGGTCATTAGATCATGAAGGTCATGCAGGATATATATCATCAACCCTATAAACCCTAAAACCCCTTTAGATCCCTTAAAGGCACCCCTTAAAGGTGCCCTTATAGATCCGTATGATCCCTTCTTTGTAGAGTCCCGCCCGAACATCCTCAGGCCTTTGCCGCGGCCTCCGCGCCCTTTGCCTTGCCAGCAGATGACTTAATCGCACTACGGTTGATGATATAAATCCTGGGGTTCCTTTAAAGGGATTTATAAGGATCCCTTTGTTCCTTTAAGGGATCTATAGGGGGTTAAGCGTTTAGGGCTGATGATACCAATTCTGCATGACCCACAATAAGGAATATACCATAATTCCCACATATTCCTTATTCTGGGTAATGCAGGATTTATATCATCAACCGTAGTACCACCCTGAACCTTCGACCCTAAACCCCTAAACTCTAAACCCCTGGACCCTAGCCCCCTACTTAAAGGATCATGGGACTTAGTAACTGGGTTGTAAATAGGGTAACCATACTTATAACCCCAATTAAGGTACTTATAAACTTCGCACTAGTGCCCAGACCTTTCAAAATCCCTTAATTAAGGAATTTACCTCAAGTTATAGTAGGATCCCTCATAAGATCTAAGGCATATTCCGTAATTAAAGGATTTTGGAAGGTCTGGGTACCACCCCTAAACCCCTAGACTCTAAACCCCTAGACTCTAAACCCCTAGACCCTACTCGGAGGGGCAGGGGACTTAGTAAGTAGGTTATAAGTAGAGTTATTAGTACCCTAAATGGAGTTACCCCATTTATGGTCCTGCTTATAAACGACTGCCCCTCAAGCAAACCCCTGGACCCTAAACCCCTAGACCCTAAACCCCTAAACCCTTCACCCAGGGACACGGCCGCAACGGGATCCCTATCGCAGCTCGGTCCTTGTAACCAATACCCATAGTGATCATTGCCTAGAGGCTCATACCCTCCCCTTTTTTTTTGGTTACCCCATGTTTCTATATTACAGATCCTAACTGAGGAACCAGGTACCCTACAAAGGGGTAGGATATGAGCCTCTTAGCAGCCTCTAGGTAGGTTCCGGTGTAGCCCCTTTATGATAAGGGCACTCTTTTCCCTACTATTCGGTCTTTATTACGGGGACCTTAAAAATAAGAAGGGGAACAGGGTAGTGCTCAGGAACCTAGTTCATTTGGAGGCTAAGGAGTCAGAACAAAGGCCGTCGACGGCTTAAGCTTTACCCAGACCCCAGATTACCTGTCTTTGTAAGGCCGACTCTCGCATTGGCATCAATGAGGAGCAAGGGCCAGGCCCCCTTATCAAGGACTAGTCCTGAGAAAACCCCTCGCAGTTTTTGCCACCAAAACGCCAGAGCTGCAGCCGACGTTTTTGCATGCGGTGAGTGGGCAACCACACAGAGAAAATGCAGTCCTGGAACCCTGACCCTGACAGTACTTGAAGGCTCATGGGACTTACTAAGTAAGCTTATAAGTAAGTTATAATTAGGATAACCCCAGTTAGGGGACTTATAAACCCAATTATAACCTACTTACTAAGTCCCATGATCCTCTAAGTAGAGCTTACCGCCGGCCTCCCCTTCGGGAGCCTGAGCGTGCTCCACGGTTCTCCCCTGGTTTTCCCAAATGCTCCACGTACCCATATAGTAGGTACTTAGGCCATTAAAGTACCCATATAGGGACCCCTTTAAGGCCTAAGTACCTACTATATGGGCACATGGAGCCTTAGGGTTTGCAAGGTGGCAATTTGTTCGCTCATGCTAATGACGAGCCCTAACAAGGTACCTGGAGGGGCAGTGGATGTAGTAAGTAGGTTATAAGCAGAGTTATAAGTACCCTAAATGGAGTTACCCCAATTATGACCCTACTTATAAACGCCTTTCTAAGTCCCCTGCCCCTCCAAGTAGACCCTAAACCCTAAACCCCATAGATCCCTTTAAAGAACCCTTTTTAAGCCCCCTGCCCCTGCCAGTAGGTTCTTTACTTAAAGGATCATGGGACTTAGTAAGTGGGGTTATAATTAGGGTAACTATACTTATAACCCCACTTAGGGTACTTATAACCTTACTTACTAAGTTCCGTCATCCTCCAAGTAGGCTCCAGGTCGGGCTTAGGCTTTTAAGCTAAATGCGCGGGACTGGAAGATTGGAATCCCAATACCCTAACCCAGAGGGTCCAAGTACTCCCTATTATGGGACTGTAGGGCCATTTAGCTACCAAAAACCATAAATAGGAACTACTTGGACCCTTAGGGTAAAGAATCTGAAGGTTGATTTAGTTTAACTACAGTAAACCTTCCAAACCCTAAACCCTAAACCCTAAGATTTAACTTAATGACAATCGGGTGTTGGAGCCACTCTTGCGTATTTATTGAAGGACCATAAGTGATCTGGAGCCTCAATGTTTAGAACCCAATGTGGCTGTGAGGCCACGACAGTGTCATTATTGAGGGACCGCGCCTTGAACCCAAACCCCACCGGAAGCCCCAAACCCTCGACCCTAAAGCGTAAAACCCTAAAAGAACGAAAACCTCCTATTGGTGCCTAAAATAGTTGCCGATGCGGTTCTTTACGGTTCCTCATTAAAGTGATACCAGGATAAGCCCTGAAACCCCATTCTAACTTTTGAGGCCCCTAGATTCGACCCTCATAGAAATGCTTATAGAAAAATAAAACCCCAAACCCGAAAACCCACCCAACCGAGGCCCAAGCTCTTCGCGGCGGCTTTGCCTACATCTCGTTGGGGTCGCTTGGAGGCTGCATTAATTAAGTCATTAAGGGTTCCATTAAGGGGCGCCGATAAGGGTAGTTTGACGAAATATTATGGGTACCATGCGGATTCCTGTAAGGGCTTCCCATTATGATGGTACTTGAAGGGTTGCTTGGGATCTCGGGAAGTGGCTTTAAGCGTCCCTGTTTAGGGCGTTTAGGGTTCTCCCAAACCCTAAACCCTAAACCCGTCTCCTACTGATTTGTAGGGTTTGGGGCTACAAGTCTGAGCCCGTCCTAGTTGAAGCGTTAGAAACCTAGCTGTTTTGGGCTTCCTGGCCTGATTCCTCCTTTACTAGGTGTCGACCTCAACAGTCCTCACCAATAGGTCTGATAAGGGCTCTTTCGGGTTTAAGGGTTTAGGGTTCAGGGGTTTAGGGTTTAGGGGTTTATAGGGCTTAGGGGTTTAGGGTTTAGGGGTTTATAGGGCTTAGGGGTTTAGGGTCTATATTGAGCAATACGGGAAAATAGAAATTATCCCGAATCGACATCCAGCATCCAGTTTGCCGATGGGGTTTCGGGGTTGCTCACTGGGACCAACTTGTACGGTAGGCCTTTGCGGGCTCATGGCAGTGTGTGTCTGCTGAGAAGATCTGCCCAGTTGGGGCCGCTGCTGCTATCGCTGCTTCCGCCTCCGCTGCCGGTGTTTCGTCCGGTTGTTGACCCCGGACGGCTTGCCTGGTGTTCGCGGCTATACACGATCCCCCAGCCAGGACCTGCCTGTGATTGTGGTGGTGGCCCGGGGTGAGGTCTGTGGCGGTTGGCTTGTTTGTAGGTGTACTTGTGCTGCTTTGTTCTGCACGCGTTGGCTGCCGTGGCCTTCGCTGGCTCTCGGCCGCTCCTCTGTCTCCTCTTCTTCTTCTGCTTCCGCTTCTGCGTGCACATAAGCATCCAGCCAAAATGTGGGGTTTCGGCTTGCCTTTCATGCATCAATGTTACCTTCTTTAATCTTATACAGACCTTGTAATTAGATACGAAACAGTCAAAAAATGGAACGACAACAGACACTTATGCAGCAAACTGTGCGCCAAACCCTAACCACTGGAAGTCAAAACTTTAAACCCAGAACCCCAAGGCTAAGCCCAAGTCTAGAACCTTTGAGCTCTAAACCCTAGCTTGTCTGACTTCTGAGCCCCTCCTAAAAGTTAAACTTTTAGGCTCCTTACTATAGTTCATCTAGAGCCCAAAAAGTTGAAGTCCTAAGAGCCAACCAGAAGAGCGCCAAGCTAGAACATCCTCGACCCCTCAACCCTAAACCCTCAACCCTAAAAACCCTAAAAACCCTAAACCCTAAAAACCCTGAACCCTAAACCCTAAAAATCCTAAACCCTAAAAACCCCAAACCCGAACCCTAAACCCTGAGCCCGGAAGTAAACACCTCAAACTCTTTGCCCAAAGGGTCCGGGATGCTTTCCCATATCATCGTCATTCCGACAATCACTACACGATACTACATACTTTTAGCAAACCTTGAATCCCAACTCTAAAGGTAACCCTTGAAGGAACCCCTAAAGGTAACCCTTCAAGTAACCCTTATAGTACGCCTTAAGGTAAAGATACTTAGGACCCCCAACCCCCAGACCCTACAGCCCTAAAGCCCAAAACATAAACCCCTTATAAACCCTAAACACCAAACCCTCAAACCCAAACCCCTAAATCATATACCCTAAACCCGAAAACCTACAGTTGAAGGAACCCTTATGGATCCCGTTAAGAGGCTCAACCCGAGGGCTTCCTATAGATCCGTTGTATAGTCGAACCATTTAAGGATCCCTGATAGAAAGCTTTAAGGAACCCTTTGGGTTTGGATCCCTTTAAAAGGAACCCTGAGCCATAAACCCCTATACCCTAAACCTTGGGGGCGCCGGCCTCTCGCCTTTTTAGCAGCACGGCTCTCGGCCACCTCCGTTTGGGGGGAGGGTGGGGGGGGTTCCTTTAACAGGATCTTACTACCCAAAGGCCCAACAGTAGTTCCTTTTTGGGATTACCTTATAGGATTCTAAATATGAACCCCAAAAAGGAACTACTTTGGGGCCCTATGGTAATGGTGGTTCTCGGGCAAACAATGACAAGGGTTCCTGTCATCATCATTCAGAATTCTTGAAGGGTTGGCTTTAAAGCGCATTGATGTGTTCAATGGATCATAATGTCTACAACGGCTTCGATACGCCCTGGGAGCGATCAACTGAGGCTCATATGACTACAGTTTGTACATGTCCGGGATTTTGATTGTTGAGAGTTGGATAGGGCTACTTCCCCAGAGGGTCCAAACATTTCCATTATTGTGGAGATAGGTGCCCCGAAACCATTACTAGGGTGGTCTTTTGAAACCTAGTTCCTTTGTGGGTGGTACTGTATCTGGACCCTCTTGGCTTTGAGTGTTGGCGAGTATTTGGAAGATCAGGGGATCTGGGCAGTAGATTCAATATTAATTTAAGGACCTCCAAGAAGCACCTAAACAAAAGCCATAAGGTTGGCATATCCCAGAACCCCCTCCTTAAGTAAGCCAATAAGCTTGGGATATCGAACCCAAAAGTTTACGTTTCGGTTCTGTTTTGGTTCCTAGATTGGGAGGTCGACGGCAGCAAGACCCTGCCCTGCATTGCAATACGTGTCGGGGTGTCGAAATCCAAATACATGGCTGGCCCCAAACACCAAACCCTAAACCCTAATAAGTCTGGATAAAGAAATAGCTGGAGAACGGCAGACCTTTGACCCTGCACAACCGACACGCCCTAAAACCCTAAACCTTGAAAGCCTGAAGCCCAAATCTACCCGAAAACCTGACCCTGACTCATAACACCCTAAAGCCTGACAGCAACAATATTAATATGAACCCTTCACCCCTAGCCTATAGCCTATCTTCTTCAATAATCGGGCCCAAAAAACTCAGTCTCTCTAATATTGACCGTCTTATCCGAAACCAAAAAGCTTGAAGTTCCACCACTAGATATCTAAGAATCCCGAATCGCAGATAGTCTACTTGACAAGCCAGCGAGCCTCGTCAACGTATTCCGATGCGATGCTGATCTCCTCATCCTCGCAAGGGAAGACGGGCGAGTACGGTTGATGATATAAATCCTGCGTTACCTGAAGGACCCTAAACTATGGGACTTATGACATATTCCTTATTATGGGTCATGCAGGATTTGTATCATCAACCGTTGTTAGGGAAGTTAAGGTTTTCTTTGTTTTGGTAGATGGCGCAATGTGAACCCCAATGTAATGGGATGGCTGTCTAGAAGACAATCTACAGTCTAGAACAAACAAATGGCTCAAAACGAAAAGAGTCGGAATCCACCAGCAATGGGCCTGCAGGACCCAGAACTTCCACAATCCCTTAATTCAATTTAAGAAATATATCTTAAATTCTAATAGGATCCTTAGTTTAATTTAAGAAATACATCTTAACTTACAGAAGGATCCCTAATAATTTGATTTCAGGTCTATTCCTTGATTAAGGGGTTTTGGAAGGTCTGGGGACCTTAAGTTGGCGCTCCAGCACAGACGGCCTAATTAACCTCTTACATGGGTGCTTGTCAACATTAGGGTCCCTTTTCTAGACCTACGAGTAACCTAGGCATAAAAAGGGGGTGCCCTTTTTGGTTTAAAGGGGCTTATAAGGGAACCTGAAGCCTCAAAAAAGGGAATAAGGGCCTACTCTTGGTCCTAGTTTTTGGGTAGCCTAAATCTTACGTGCCGTACTATAATAGGGACCCCAAACGGGACCACAATTTTGACAACCACCCGCACAGACAGCCGATTAACCTCTTGCATACACTATATGCCTTAAACTATGCAGAGAAGCTCACTATGACTTGCAAAGCTAGGACTTGTGAGCCTCCTTAAAGGGACCGGAGGGTGTCAGTTCCAGGCTCCGCACCCCCCCAAGGAGATAGCCTTAAGGTAAGTGCGGGATCCAAGAACTAGAGGCTTCAGCAACAAGCGGTGTACGTGGGTTAAGGCCTTTGCATCAGCCAATTTCTCAAGCACTTGAGAAGGTATTTCTTATCAGGAAAGTAAAGCACGCATTCCCACCGGAACCTAGGTAGCCATGTTGGGGTATTTGCAGCAGGCATAGAAGCTGCACGCCTGCAAAACTGAGATGCAGTCTTTCCTGTAGCTGGTCGCAGGTCTCTACGCCTGCTGCCACTGCAACCTGTGACCCAAAGACACCAATATCCCTAAATGAAGGAATAAATACCTTAAATCATACTAGGGATCCTATCATAATTTAATGTATATTCCTTAATTTAAGGGATACTGGAGTCTCTGGGTATGTATGATTAGAGTAGGGTTCCTTCATTCAAGGGTGTCTGTGCCAGAGCCATCCTCCTCTGGCTGACGCCTTTCTTGCGAACTCAGAGAGATCCCAATATCCCTTACCTTAAACTACCAAACCCTACTTTTTTGTAGGTTCTTATTATAAACCCTAATATGGAATTTATAGGGACCCTACAAAAAAGTAGGTTTTGGTAGGTTAAGGTAATTAAGACCTTGAAAAGGATCCTCACGGGCTCCTTTAAGGGATCTATAGGGTTTAGGGTTGAAGGGATCCCAATATCCCGCAAGTAAGGAACAGGCGGTAAACTATAGGGGCCTTCATATTATGGTTTAGGGTATATTCCTTAATTAAGGGGTACTGGGATCTCTGGGAAGCTGCACGTCCGACAGTCTGCAAGCCAGTCTTTGCTGTGGCCGAAACCGTGCCCTAGCTTGCGCAAGATTGGAGCCCCAAGCCCCAACCCCACAACGCCAAACCCCAACGCCCGACAAACTCAAAAGCCTGCCTAGACCCCCCAACTACCCTTTATAGCAGTCCCTAGTTACGGTGACTAGTAATTAGCTCTTAATTAGAAATATCAGAGCCCTTTAAAGGTTACTTGAAAGGTCCTGTTAAAACCCATCAGTCCCGGATCGTCTGCCTTCTTCCACTTCTTCGTCTCCTCGTCGAAACGGCACCACACCTTTGCACAGCCAGTGACCGTAGAAGCGGGGCTTTCAAAAGGGTTAACCCGGAGGGTCCAAGTACTCTCTATTGCAGGACTTTAGGGCCCTTTTAAGTATCAAAACCATAGGTAATGATTACTTAGACCCTTAGGTTAAGGGTTAGTTCAAAAGGGCTTAGGGACAGTGCTCCGAGGCTTTTAAATGTCTTTGTCCATAAAGATCCACACAGGCCTGAAGGTTTAGGGTTTATGGGATCTGACAATGTGGGGTTTCGTCAATGAGTCAAGGCTTCTTTACGGATTCATTTTTGTATCCCAATCTCAACTGTTTGTAAGGGTCCCCAGCAATCCGGACCCTCAAGCCATACTGGCTTTTCTGGACATAGAACACCCTGCAGCAGCAGCAACCTTAAGAGAACGTATACAAACCTCGGATAAGGGCTTGCGGTTTGACGTTTAAGGTGATTACTTCAGGGGCTAGGGGCAGGGTTTGCGATTTAGGGTCTAGGTGCTCTTGTCCTAATGACCCCGAGGGTGATGCCTGTCTCATCTGCGTGTCTGTGCACCTAGCATGATCTGGGTATGTACACGTGCTTGCAACAGCTAGGCATGTATGTGTCTGTCTATGTGAACCGCAAAGAACCTAATTACCTGCGCGCCTGTGCACCTGGCATGACCTGGGTATGTGCACGTGCTTGCAACGCTAGGCATGTATGCGTCTGTCTATGTGAGCCGCAAAGAAGTCCTACCTATTAAGGACTCATGCAAGGAAACTCCTATAAGGAGCCCCGAACGAGGCCAACACTCTGCCTTTCACATGACAACTTAGACCAAATGCTGTCAAAACACACAAGTGAAAGACCACGGGAATGCGACGCAAGACGTCCGAGTATTGCTTTATGTACCAGCGCTCCGTCCTTCGACCTGGCCTTCTCGGCGAAGAACATGAGAAATCCATACCAGACATGCTCGGTGGAGATCGGCTGCAGACCTGATTCCCGCTTGGGGGCAGGCATGCCGCAAACGGCCGCGACCCCAAGGGCTGGCAAGACCAGCGGCCCACCACGGACCACGAGACCACGGAGGTATTCACAAACATTCTCGACTTGGCCGAAACCGGGGGGAAACTTGTGGATGAAGCTCATCTCTTTGAACCAAAGACCATCAACGAGACATGTGTACTCGTTGGCCTCGGACTACAAGACCGAGTTGTACTCTTTGGCGTCGAACGGAGACCGCCGAAGGCCACATAGGTTTCTCTGGGTGCAGGTATGCTTTGGCGAGATAATTGACATGCAACCAGAAAATACACACCAGTTCCGAGAGCCATCACAGGGACCTTAATAAAAGAACTGGGCTTGGGTGTGGGGTTTAGGGTTTAGAGTTTCATGGACAGTGTAATTAATTAGAAAAACAGTACAGTTACATAGGAACTTTATCGGGATATTAGAATACGAGAGAAAACTAAGTATTCCCGACCGCCATAATTTGTACTGCTTCTGTGCAAAGCAAAACCAAAGCGCCTGCCTGCATCTTATCTGGCTGCGCACCATGATGCCTGGGCTTGTGGGCTCCTGTTGAACAACTAGCTTGAAGCAGAATTTGTGGCTCCACGCGGGGTTCTACGGTATCTTACAGGATTCTTTACTGGCTTCTTGCTCATGAACTTACTTTGACTTGGCAGATTATGGCAAGCGTCTCATGGCCGAAGCCCAGATACCATCTGTGGGTACTTTGGAGTCTACGAAGATTTTGCAAGACCTCTACCCAGAGATCTCAATATCCCTTGATTAAGGGTAATACCTTAAACCATAATACGAACCTAGACCCCCCAACTACCCTTGTTAGTAATCCCTCATCACCTCTTAATGAGAAACATCAGAGCCCTTTAAAGGGTACTTGGGGGGTCCTGGATGGCCCCAATAATTTAAGGCATATTCCTGAACTAAGGGATATTGGGATCTCCGGGTAGCCCTTGGGGCTTCCAGGCTTTCTTGGCTAGGCTTTAAAGTTTATATGGGTTTGGCAAACCCTAAGGGTCCAAGTAATCCCTATTTATGGTTTCTGGTGCCCAAAATGGACCCAAAGTCCCATAATATGGAGTACCTGGATCCTCAAGGAAAGGCTTTGCGACGGCGCTGGGTTCTTTTAGGTTAGCCCGAAAACCCTAGCACAAAAGCCATACACAGCATGGTCTTAGCCTTAATATGGGAGTTTCGGAAAATAGGGGACCCCAATATGCTACCCTAAATAGTAGGATCCTTATTCTACGGACCGCTCTCAAGGTATATGGAGACAGTCAATAGGGCCTCGTCCTGATTATAGGGACCCCCCAAAACAAGGTTCCCCTAATTTTCGGAAACTCCCATATATGAGTCCTTAGATCCCTACTTGGACGGGCAGGGGACTTACTAAGTAGGTTATATGTAGAGTTATAAGTACCCTAAATGGAGTTACCCCAATTATAACGCTACTTATAACCTACTTACTAACTCCCCTGCCCTCCGAGTAACTAGACCCTAAACCCTAAACCCCATAGATCCCATTAAGGAACACTATAGATCCCTTCAAGAGCCCTTACTACGTCCCCTGCCCCTCCAAGTACACCTGATATAGTATGGTCTTTGGGCCCAAAAGCCTTAATATATGAGTCCTTAGATCCCGAAACCCTATAGTGACCCCTTGAAAGGACCCCTTATAGATCCCTTTGAAGGAACCCCATATGAGTCCTATAGATCCCTTTAAAGGACCCCTTATAGATCCCCTTAAAGGAACCCTTATAGATCCCCTTAAAGGACCCCTTATAGATCCCTTTAAAGGAACCCTATATGAGTCCTTAGATCCCCATCAGATTCCGGGGTCTCGGTCTTGCGAGCTTCAGGGACTTTGGGTGTTCCAGGGGTCGGGGCAAAAGATCGCCGATGCGATGAACCCTAGGGATCAATATAGTTAGGCTTTAGGCTTCTGAGTCCTCAGATTCCTTAGATCATGAGTCCTTAGATCCCTGAAAGGCAAACATGGTTCGAACAAAAGGCAAAACAACAACAACAAGAACGCAACGCAGTGATACGGTTGAGTGTTTTACACGCAGCCCTGAACCCTGCAACATAGTAGGTTATGAATGGTTCTGACCCCTGAATAGGGTAGACGGTATAACACTGAAAACTGAAAACAGCACTTGGAGGGGCAGGGGACTTAGTAAGTAGGTTATAAGTAGGGTTATAATTGGGGTAACTCCATTTAGGGTACTTATAACTGTACTTATGACCTACTTACTAAGTCCCCTGCCCCTCCAAGTAGACCCTAAAGCCTAAACCCCGTAGATCCCCTTCAGATCCGTTTGAGGGGCCCTTTCAAAGTCCTGACCAAGAAAACAGTAGGCTGTTTGATCTCGGGGAAGACCCCGCAAACCGAAGCCCCGTACTGAAGGTCTTGGATCCACAATCCCCAACTCGAAAGCACCGAAGACCCTGAATTTCGACCTCAACCCTCTGAAAACCCGTAACACCCTTATTAAACCCAACACACAACCACATAACAAGCAGAACCGTTGCAGTGACCCTGGTGGCCCTTGTGGATACCTTATAGAATCCTAAAACCTACGCCAGGAAATCCCTAAGCCCTAAACCCAAAACCCTCAACCCAAAACCAGCCAACCCTAAATCTCGAAACAGCCAGGCTGCTTCTGCGGACAGAATAGGAAGCCGGCACTGCCTCGCAGGGATCTCGGTTTAGGGTTGAGGGGCTTGCGGGTTTAGGGTTTAGGCGTTTTGGGGTTAAGGGCTTAGGGGCCAAAACATCCACCATGGCGTTCTCGGCGTCCTGACAGATGAGACTCAGGGCCAGCAATAAAAACAGGTGGTCGACCGTCCTTCATCAGACCGCCAGGAACTTTGGCGACATAAGCACGGACAAGTTTGATCTTGTGCTCGATAGACGTCGTCCGCAACTTGTTGGCCTCCTGCTCATGGGCCATGGTGTAGAAGAGCTTGACCGCCGCCTGACACAGGAGTAAGTAGCGACCGTCGTGTCCAGTCATACTGCACATCCCTGGCCTCATCGTCATCCAAGAGTTTGATGCAATCAAAAACGCATTCCGTTCATCAGAATGTCCTTGATCACCTCTAAACCCTTAACCCCAACGCCCCTAAGCCCTAAACCCTTAACCCCAAAGCCCCTAAACCCGGAACCCCTAAACCCTTAACCCCAAAGCCCCTAAACCCTTATCCCCAAAGCCCCTAAACCCTTAACCCCAAAGCCCCTAAACTCGGTAAGGGTTGGAGGTAGCTTCAGCAAAGCTATCGACCCTGCAAAAGCCTGGGAAGACTCACCCAATCCCCAAATGCCTAAACCCCAGACCACAAACCAAAAACAGTGCAAACAAGCAAACCTTCAACCTTCATAATCCAATCATCAAGCGTTCAACCTCATAGATGGCTTCGAACACCTGCAAAACCCGGTAACGCCCTGCGAAAACCCAAGAATGACCCTACAGCTCACTTCATTAATCATCTTGAAATCTGGGTGAAACCCCGTCGAACATCCAAATGAAATTCGAGAGCAGTTCAAAACACGCTGATAAGCCCTGAACCCCCGAACCCGAAACCGAGCCATCAACCCCTGAGCCACTAAACCCGACACCCTAAACCCCTAAACCGCCGAACCTCTGAATCTCTGAAACCCCTAAACCCTGAACCCATGACCTCGAAAGTGGCTCTCTCGCACTGAGTTGCTGCCGACGCACCAGCGCCCCATCTGGCTTATGTTATGCACGATCCGTATAGTATATACTTTGTGTATGATCGACGAAGAGCCTACTATAACGGTCATTGGACCCTCAGGGTATAGGGGCCGTAATACCAGTAGAAACAAATGACGGGTTCCATGATATGCGTGGTTTAAATATTGGAATCGGGCTAATTGTGAAATTATACTCTCGCTTATCATTAACCGGGCACAAAAAGTTCAAGCTTTGTTATGAGGGTCAGTTATATAACCGCAACAACTTTAAAGTTGTCCCACTGGATGTCAAAGTACTATGTGTATAACCAGAACCCCTAATAACAAGCATTCGCAACTAAACTAGCTTCTAGACTCTCCAGGCACACATAAGGCACTTAGAACAATGGCTTAGGATCCTAGATTGTCCATGTATACGGGCATATATACTACCATTATGCAATTAGGTCCCAAAAAGACCATCCTTATTGTGGTCTTGAGGACCTAACTCCATAATGATAATACAAATGGACCCTCTGGGGTGCAGGGTTTCGGATCTGTAGGGCAACACCTTGAAGTAAGCAACCTACCACTAGGGTTGTTAGACTATAGACTATAAGTCTATCTGTCTCGAAAGCAGGGTGATGGTGTAGGGCTTCTGGTCTGTCGGATCATTATGGGCTGCCTAAAGGATCATGGGGCTGAAAAACTAAGGCGTAAATGAAGTAACTATACCCCAAGGCTCTAAGTCTAAGGCTCAAGCAGTAATGGCTCCTCGGCCCAAAAAAATGCTTCCCAGGGCTTTTGGGCTAGTTGGAGCCTCAGGGATACTTACTTAGGAGTTTCCGAAGAATAGTAGACCTTAATCTAGTACCCTAAATAGTAGGACCCCAAAATAAGGTACCCTTATAATGTTCGGAACCCCCCCGCTTATGCCCGTACTTATATAACCTTAGGCCGTGGCGGTCATTGTAGGGTCCACCGGCTTGAGGCTCCAATGGGTTCAAGGTTTAGGTTTAGGGTTTGGGTTTGCAGCTTCTAGGGTCCGGGGTTTGGGGTTAAGTAACGGTTTGGGATTTTGGATCTTTCAGGGTTTGTTCATAAAGGGCTTTACAAACCTTCACGCAACGCTATACAGGATCCTGGCTGGTTGATATGAGGATGACTAACATAGTAAGACATCATGCCCGCGAAGACCTGATTGAGGCCAAGGGCCTGATTTTTGGAGCTTGAACCCTACATACCTAGAGGCTCCAGATACAAAACCATTATGGAATTAAGCCCCTAAAACCCTGATAAGTATGGGCTTTTGGGGCCTAATTCCATAATGGTACTACATATGGAGCCTCTGGGATAGACAACAAACCACGAAAGTGCAACTCTAACTCTCTTGAACCCCTCAGAGCGGAATCCCAGACTGTAGCCCACAGTGGGCCAAACACTGCGCCGGAAAGCTTAATACAGAAGTCCGAACAAATTATAGCACTATTATTCCGTTTTCGTCTCCGGCCTACTAATATCCCCCCCAAACCTAAGACCCCATTCTAGTTTCGCGGGCACGCACTAAGCGTAGAAGTGCTTGAATAAAAACTCCCGAAAGGACTAAATTAAACGACTTCTATATTTCATGTCCTAAACACGTGTGCCTTGTCGAGTTATTACTCTTGGAACGTTTGGGGAAGGCCATGTGACAGTGCTTCATATAGACTAAGAAGACCCCCCAAGCACAATCGCTGATTGTTAACCGGTTTTCCTGCCTAGCACTCTCTGTAAAGCGAAATTCCACATAGAAATGCACATTTGCAAGCATTACACCGGCCAGCCAAAGAAGAAGAAACTGCAAGAGCCCTTGTACGTCAAACCCTCACACCCTACAGTCTTGGCAAAATGACCAGTACGTAGATGAGTTCGCCTCATCCGAATAAATCCATCGCTCGCCGCCCAGTTGCCTCCAAACCTGGTCATGCGTCACCCGCAAGCCCGCAAGGCTGCAGAAACGGTTCACTTCTGGAGTTAGAATCTATATTATGTATTTGCTTAAATGTAAAATTTGCTTAAATGTGAAATATGTTATGCTATATACATTGTATTATACATTGTTGTGCCATTGTAAGTTGTACCACATCTTATGGGATGTAATTACGTTGATAACTACATTACCTTCCTAACTGTACGAACATTACATTTACTGGTTTAGCTTAGGTTAGATTAGACCACATGATAGGGCTCGAAGGGCAGGAGGATAATGATGTTCCAGCTGTCTGGCTTCTATTTCAGGGTCAACAGAAGGTTAGAGCTGTACTATGAGAACACCCTGCAGATATAGTACCATGTATATGAGACCCTGAACACAACAAACCCCAAGCCCCAAACCCCAGACCCGTCCCGTCCATAACATTAAACTGCGGACGAGCAGCGGGACAGCCGTTTCCCCGCTCATCGGGCACGAGGACGTACCTCATTGGATCTCCCCCACAGAGGCCTACGGACATTGGGGTTTCAGAAGGGCTTTGGTAAGGGACCCTTCAAGGGTTTCCGGATTCAGTGAATCAAACATAATAGTCATTCATCCTGATTTCGTAGATTTTGTGTAGGTCGGCAGACAAGCCAACAACTCTTCCGACGCAGGCTCCAATAGTTCGTCAACCATGGCCAAGAACTCAGCACAGGCCAATTCTGCAGCGCTCCTGGCGCTGAATGGGCACCTGTTGACCGGCTTTCGTTCGGCTCATAGCACAAGCTATCCATAGATACAGAAACGGCTCGCTTCAAGCTGGCATTGGACGTTTCTCGCGCATGGCACGGGCAGTCGAACAACCTCCTCGGCGGCGGAGCGCTTCGTCTGCTTCTCGAACCACTCTTTGTCTGCCTGCGTCAGGGTGTCGCAGATGTTTCGATCTTGCATGTTTTTTGGCTTCAATCAGCTGTTGGTAGCTCGGTCGGACTGGTACAAACTCTATGAGATGCGCGCCTTCACGAAGCGCAGTCCCTTGCCGAGGTACTGCTTGAGCAGCTGCCGCCGCCTGGTGGCTTTGTGCCGACAAAGGACAGCATACTCGGCGTCCTGCCGAGCGATGCATGCCCTCATATCTGCAGCTGCTCCAGACAGCAATGATCCCTCCAGACATCCCACTTTTCGACAGCCCCTGCTGCCAGGGCGCTGCATCCGCTTCCGGCATGCGCTGTACAGCCCCAGCTGAGCGAGAGCCCGTCTACCAAGTGGTGCAAGGCGAGCACATCCTGGCGTCTCCATGCATGCAACACAAGTTGTCAAAATGCACAGCATTGACCACGAAGCCCAGCAAAGGCGGTTGTTGATTGCATCATCCACCTAACCCTAGCCCTAAACCCTAAACCCCTAAACCCTAAACCCCTAAACCCTAAACCCTAAACCCCTGAACCCCTATAACCCTAAACCCCTAAACCCTCAGCCCTAAGCCCCTAAACCCTCAACCGTGTCTGCATGCAAAGGCGGATTCGAGGCTGCTGAACCGGCTTCTTCTTCTTTACATGGGAGTTTTCCGAAAATAGGGGACCCTAATAAGGTATCCTGAATAGTAGGATCCTTATTATAAGGACCTTAAAATAAGGTACCCCTAGTCTTCGGAAACTCCCATATGGGAGTTTCCGAACATTAGGGGTACCCTAGGGACCGAGGGCTTCCTTTAAAGGGATCTATAAAGGTACTATAAAAATTCTATAAAGGGTTAGGGGTTTAGGGTTTAGGGTTTCCGAATATTAGGGGTACCTCATTTTGGGATCCTTTAATAAGGACCCTACTATGTAGGGTACTATGTTGGGGTCCCCTATTTTCGGAAACTCTCATACGTTTGGGGGCTTGATGCTTGGGCAGTATGCTCATGCACATCTCAGAAACTATTTCCATGACGAAGGCGAAATCTCGGCTGATAGAACGGAGTGGCAGTCTAGCCAATATTACAGTACAGTTGTCACTCCCGTGCCCCTAAACCCTAAATAAACCCTAAACCCTGCTTTGGCTAGATTAGTTTCGGACTTGAGCGACCGAGGCCTAAGCCCTCCAACGTCGTGTAGAACCCAGTTCAAACCAACCTGAAGTCCCATAGAAATCAATACCAGCTACTCATAAAGAACGCCTTATGCCTTGTAGGATCTAGGGTTCGAGGCTTAGGGTTTAGGTGGTCTTACACAGCAATACCTGGACATCCAAGAAACCGACTGTTTCAAGGGCTATTCCGAAGGATTACAACCGACTATTTGCGAGTTGCTAGAGTTTGCAGCTACAGTTACCTGAAGATCCAAAAAACCTACTGTTTTAAGGGTTATACCATCGAAATGAAGGGGTCATAACCTACTATTTCGTAGGGTCTGTGGATACAGGTACAGAGAACGATATCCTTTAAAGTAGAGGGTATTGAAGCCTAAAGGCCATATCACTATCGAACCAACGAAGCCCTGAATAGTAGTTATGGGGCCCATGGGCCGTACCGTAAACTCTACCTGTGGCCCAAAAGACCTACCTTTTTGAGGAACTATATATATATATATATATATATATATATATATATAGAAACCATAATAAGGAATCCTAAAAACGGTAGATCTTTTCGGTTACAGGTAATCCTAAACTCTAGGAGCCCCTCACATGAAGCCGTAACGGAACTCTGAGTGACCCTGAGCCCTAAACCTTTAAAGACCCTGACAGATCCCTTTTTGTAACGGAACTCTAAGCCCTAAACGCTCAACCCCAGATCCTAAACCCTCAACTCCGCAACTCTTCAGTCTTCTAGGAACCCTGAAAGGAAACCTGAAGCCTAAAGGAACCCTATTCTCCAAAACTCTTGTAGGAATCCTTATAGGGATCACTCCCCGAACAAGGAACCCCTAAAGCAACTCCTAAAAGGAACCCCCAAGAGGTCACGCGCCGAACATCTATGAGCCCTAAACCCTAAGCCTAAAGGAACACCAAAGGATCCGAAAAAATCTCCAAGGAACCCTTTAACCCCTGAAGTCATCCCAAAAGGACTCCTGCGAAGAGCTCCCTACTCCCAACCCTA